GAGCTTGCAGACAAACTGCATCTAGTCTGCAAATTATAGGGACAATTATACTCCTATTCTTTATCATTGCAGTCCTTCTATATTACCTCCTGTTGGTACAGAATTTTCAGGTTGTTTTTTAATTTCCCATTTCCTAATGGTTTTCAGCAGCTGGAAGACCTTGTGGTTACTGTTGTGATGTGATAATTTTTTGCAATTTTTTTATGAGCCATGTATGTGCCTCAATTTCCCCTACACCTTGTGCAGCTACTGGGGGTGGAAGGAAGGATTATATACACTCTCAAGGCTGGCTAAGACACAGGGTGTTGGGTATGTATGGTGTGTGTCACTTAGTTGTCTGAGCAGACAGAATAGGTTGTTAAAAGGTCAGCCTGATGCTGCCACACATCAGTGGAAAGGCCATTACCAGGACATTAACATGAGCAACCAAAAATCCAGAGGAAGAAGTATTTCCCTACCTCGCAGCTGGAAACCTGAGCAGAGGTCTCAGTTCCAGAACAAAGGACACTGGAAGAAAAAATTGGCTTCTGACCTGACTTAAGGAAATCAGAGAACCTGAAAGTGGTGCTACAGCTGGGCTGGTGAACTGCTCTGGGCTGACCAGAATAGACTCTGCTCTAACCTCTGTTTTTCTATTCTAATCTAGGGACTTCCCATGGCTATGGTCCAGTTGACTATAAACCTCTGACTGTTTTGAAGTCACTGCTGGAGTGTCAGTGCAAATGAGCTGCATTTGTTCCTGAAGAGTATACCAGTCTCTAACCAGGAGTGTGTGTCTTGGTTGGACTCACTGAGCAGAACACACAGCATGAAGCGGGAGTGCTGACCCCAAAGGGTCAATTTCTGTGATGGTGAGGCTGGGTGGCCTGCCCTGAAGGAAGAGGGAGACCTCTTAGGAGTCTGCCATATCGAAGGGCTCCTCCAGGACAGAAACTATTCTGAAGCTGGGAGCACAGCACCCATCTTGTGGATCTGAGACAGTCATAGTTTATTTCCTCTTTTTCATGGGGTTATTATGGGGAATGTTATTCATTGTGCCTCTTGAACATATTTTGCAGTGCATGTTGTTAAAATACCTGTTGCAACCATTTCAAAACATGCTAGAAGTTAGCTGCTAAACTTCCACTCCCTAAAGTTAGTTTAACTGAAAGGCATCATGGGAGTCTTGTTCTCTATGCAAGCTTTAAATTTTTTCCTTGGCCTATCTTAAGCATTAGTACCCTGCTACTGATGTGCTACTGATGGCTCGTAGCCTGCACAGTTGTCTTAAGCAGGTCTCTGCTGCTACTGTCCAGCTCCATGCTTTTCACAACTTAAAGGTTGCTAGGAATTGATTTCCACAACTTAAGGGTTGCTAGCTCATCTCTGTTAGCAAGACAAAATGAAACTGCCAGACCCAAAGCAAACTAAACCAGACATGTCATAGCAAGAGGCTGTACTGCTCCAACACAGCACCATTCATGTGAGCATCCCAAAACCGACCCCAGGGTCCAGCTCACTAGGCCTCATCACTCTGCTGTGAGCCAGGTAGCAAGTCAAAGGAAAGCTCTCGGCTGTTTCATTTGCATGAATAAGAGCATAGCTGGAACTGGGAGATTTTAAGCTACCTCTCTCAACAGCCACAAATCAATACTTCAGAGCAGTGGTCGCCAACCTTTTGGGGCTGCCGGGCGACCGCTGCCCTTTTTGGGGTGCGGGGCTACTCACAGGCCGGTCACCCAAACGGCGTGCGCCTGGGGCTGGCACTGCCCATGTGCTGCGCGTCCGAGGCCGGCGCTGCTCCTATGCCGCGTGCCCAGGGCCGGTACCACCCACATGCCATGTGCCCGGGGCCAGCACAGCCCTTGCACCACGCACCCGGGGGCAGGGCCACCCAAATGCTACGCACCTGGGCGGGGCCCAGGGGGCTGGCACCGCCCGTGCACCCGGAGGCGGGGCCGGCCCTGTTCACTTGGTGGGCGCACAGAAATGGCCTGGTGGGCGCCATGACGCCCGCGGGAACCACGTTGGGGACCGCTGCTCTAGAGGAAGAAAAGAGCATTCCCCATTCAAAGCCTCAAGCCTGTATTCAGCAAATGTAGCCAGGAGTTAAGAGCCCTGATTTGAAAGCCATCCTCTCTACCCTGCTAGTGGAAAGGAAGCTTTTTTTGAATGGCAGAGCCAAGAAGTGTTTTTCATTCAGGGAGAAGTGATCACATTTCTGACTGTAGAATGGAAAGTTGAATGCCGACCGTTTGCTATTCTGGCTTCAGCAAATGAGACATTGAACTAGAGCAGATATGGGAGTTACACCGGACAGTGTCAGAGCTTTTTACATTCTGGGCCAGGGCTTGACTTTGCTTCCATTTAAGGACTCCTGTCGGCTCCCTGATTAGATAGCTTTGGCAGATCTACAATATGCCGTTCTCCATTTTGTGGCTTTGACTATCCCATGCGCTTTGAAATCTAGTCCCAGATCTTATCTCCGGGAGGGTATTGACACACTGGACATGTCAGTCTTGATTAAACACTTCAATGCTGGGTCATTACTTGTAGGCGAATGTAAGCATGAGCAGTATTTACAAATCAGCAGCAAATACAGCAAAGCTAAAGGATGTAGCTTCTGTTTCCATGGGAACAAGGCACATAAACCCAGCAGGGGAATGCCATTCTGTGCAGCACATTCCCTACAGCAACCTCACCACATGCTGAGATTTCTCTGACTGTTCTCTGCCACTATACACCTTTATCCAGCTACTCTCAGACCACTCCTGTGCCTGAGGTGCTGGGAACAATTCAGTTTACACCGTGGTTCCAACTATCAATAATCATTTCAGTGGTACAGCACTGCTCTGTCACACATTGTTCTTTTCTAATACCATAGTTATATTTCAGTTGCAATCCTGGTGAGGATTAATGCCTATTATGTTGGATGTTGTACAGACAAGGCCCTGATCCTACAAAGATTTAAACACATTTAATTGAATACACTGAGAGATGTTCCATCAGCCTCCTGGCCCACACCACTTCCCACAGCTCCCATTTGCTGGGAACAGCCATCCGTGGCCAACGGGAGCTGCAATTACTTGTATCCGCAAGGGTGCCGGTAAACAAAGCATCTTGCAGCCACCTAGTGGCTTGTCCTTACAAGCTGCAATCCAGAGTTCGAAAGCTCCTGCATTAGACCACATTGCACCTTTCACAATTTTGTTTTCTTTCTATACCGAATCCTAGAGATGGTTCCAGAAAGATCAGAACTTCTCCTAGAACACTGCAGTGAGCTTGTCCGCCACACTATTATAAACAAAATTGCATTTGCTCTCCCCACCCCCGCTTTAACACAGACTGAAGGACAACTTGTCTTGGGCTATGAGACAATTTATTTTCCTTGATGCTGCAACTAGTACAATAAAATGCCACAGGCTTTTATGACATAAAATGTGATAACATTGCATCAGACCTCAAGTAGCTCTACAGAGCACTGCACTTAAATGTCCTGGCAAAGACAAATGGAAAACAGAGTCCCCAGGAATGTCACGATCATTGGCAACACGTTGAAGTTAGTTTGGAATGGGTGGGGGGAGTTACTTCCCAGTATACAGAGCTGTTCTCCATTTATTAGATTGGAGACCTCCTGAGATATTTTTTGTCCCTGAAGAGAGATTCCTGAAATACTTCCTGTTTCTGAAGGGAAGGGGGGAGCCAGAGCTCTCTTGAGGGCTTGTATTTTTATTTTAATCATGAGAGGAGTAGACTAAACTCATGAGAGGGAATTCCAAATCAGCTGGGACAAAAATACTTAGTGACTGGACGAGTGCGGTGTGAGAGAGGGGTTGGGGTGAGGGATTTTGCCGGTTTGACAACAGTATTAGAAAAGTTAGAGCATCACAGCAATTCCTTGTGTGGTGTTTCTCTGCTGCTACAGTTGCAGTGTGGAAGAAAGGTGACTCTGTCCCTCACATTCCCAGAACCTGATGTGAGCACCATCAGTGAGGGTGGGCTGGAAGAATGAGTGCAGGCTTAGAATTTAGCAAGCACTTAGGGCCATGCCAGGATTAGAACTGATGTGTTTCACGGCTTTGGACAAGTCGCTTTGTATTGCTCTCTGCTTCCCTATCTGTAAAAGAGGGGCAGTGATACTTGCTTTGTGAGGATTAATTAATGTTTGTATGGTGCTTTGTATATGTAACATACAGCTCAACACTTTATTATACAGGTCAGCCTGAGCAGAAGCAACAACTAGTTTTCCGATTGCAGCAGATCCTGGAAAGGGTCCATGCTCTGCAAATTTACATTAGCACAGCTTTAATGAGTCATACCAACAGTCAGTCTAGCCCAGAGCCAGATTCTTCAGCGGAACAAACAGATGAGGGCAATAATTGAGTAATCCAGTCTCTGAAGTCCAGCTCCAGGTTCTGTCAAACAGAGATTTAGGGTCACCCAGAATTTGAGGTTGTGTCCCTGGAATAGCCATTGGTGGACCTGTCTTCCATGAACTTCTCTGATTCATTTTTTTAAAAACCCATTTATACCTTTGGCCTTCACAACATCCCAGCAATGGATTGCACAAGTTGACTGTGTGTTGTGAAATACTGCCTTATGCTTGTGTTAAACCCATTTCCTGTTCATTTGAAGTCAGAAGGGATCATCATGAAAAATCTAGTCTGACCCTCCTGTACATTACAGGCCACAGAACCTCACCCACCCATTCCTGTAGTAGACCCCCAACCTCTGGCTAAGTTACTGAAGTCCTCAAATTATGGTTTAAAGTCTTCAAGCTATATACAATCCATCATTTACTCTAATTTAAACCTGCGAGTGACTCATGCCCCATGCTAGATAGAGATGAAAAAACCCTTAGGTTGCTGCTGATCTGCCCCCGGGTTAAAATCCTTCCTAACCTCAGATATGGCCCTGAACATGTGAGCAAGACCCCCAGCTTCCTACCTGAGAGAGAATTTTCTGTAGTAACTCAGAGCCCTCTTCATATAGTGCCCTATCTCTGGCCATTGGGGATATTTGCTGCTAGCAGTTGCAGTTCGGCTACATGCCATTGTTGTCTTACCATCTCCTCCATAAACTTGTCAAGCTCAGTCTTGAAGCCAGTGAGGGTTTTTTTGCTCTCATCACTGTTCTTGGAAGGTTGTTCCAGAATTTCGTTCTTCTGGTGGTTAAAAACGTTAATCTAATTACAAGCCTAAACTTGTTGATCCCCAGTTTATATTCATTTGTTCTTGTGGCTACATTGGCACTAACTTAAATAACTCCTCTTCTCCCTGCCTGCCATTTCTCTGATGTATCTATAGAAAGCCTTGGCGTCCCCTCTCATGAGGTAAGTTTTCCAGTCCTCAGATCATCCTACTAGCCCTTCCCTGCACCTGTTCCCATTTGAATTCATCTTTATTAAACACGTATCAGAACTGCACACGCTGTTCCAGATTAGGTCTCTCCAGTGCCTCCTTGGCCGCTTCCAACTGATGGGTCCCCACTTTATAGCAAAAATGCTTTTTGTTAGACCCTAAGTGTATGACTTTGCACTATTAAATTTCATCTAATTTCTATTACTTTAGTTTTCAAGGTGACCCCTGGTTTCTGTGTTCTGTGAAGAAGTAACTAATGCTTCCTTATTCACTTTCTTCACTCCATTCATGAGTTTATAGACATCTCTCATATCCACCTTCAATTGTCTCTTTTCAAGTTGAATAGTCCATCTTTTTAACCTCTCCTCATGGAGAAGTTGTTCTGTACCTCTAATAATTTTTGTTGCCTTTCTTGTACTT